TTTTAAGAATCTCAAAATGAGAGATTTTGTCCCACAGCTGCATTCAGATGTTCTTTTTCTATTTAGGTTAGATATGTGAAGGCTGGCTTAGGCCTTCTACATCTGATAATCTTAATTACATCGGTTCTAAGTAATGATTTTCTGACCCGCTCAAACATTGATGGCAATTGCATAAGTACAGACTGGGGAAGGATGATGAACAGATGCAGAGTTCCTAGCGATTTGAGATTTTCCATTTAGAAAACTGACAATAACTGTGAGAGAGAAAGTCAAAGCTGAGTGTCTTGAAAGCTATTCAAGTCCCAGAAGAGCTCACAGAGCAGAGAATGTGTGCTGTAAACTAAAAGTTAAGTTCTGAAAAACTGCAGAAGAGAGAAGGGGAAGGATTTCTGTAGGAAGAATGTTCTGATGGTACTTTTTTTTTATTTTAAAAGTGGTTGATCACATCTATACTTTCAGATGTTTGGGATATATTCAGTAATAATGACAACTGTTTGTATAGTTGTAGCAAGTAGGATCTTTAAAACCTGTCCATTCCTCTGTTCACACAGGATGCATTGTGCTTAAAATATTTCTGAAGAAACATGTCTAGTTGTTCTTAGAAGTCTGTGTTCATGGAAATACCACTACTTGTTCTAATTGGCAGTATGTTTTACTGCTTAATTACCCTTACAAATAGATATTTATAAATGTCTAACCTTAATTTCCAGTGCAGCAATTTAAATCCATTACAGCTTACTCTGACTGTGGAAGCAAATCAATTTACTGTCTCCCTCTAGTAATTTCTTCTAACATAGTGGAATGAGATCTCTTGATGAAGTGAGTAGTGTCTTAAGCTCTCTTTAAAAACTGTGTTGCTCTTCTTGATAGCGATCCACTTTCTCTTGAATTGCAACATAAAAAATTGCATGAAACTCTCAAGTGAAGCATTTTATTTACGTATTGCAGAAGTGTTTAATGCATCTGTTTATATGCTTCAGATTTAATGCATTAGCTTGCAGCTAAAAAATTTCTGGCAGGCATTGATTTCTCATGGAGCAGGTCTGACATGCTTGTATAATTAGGACACAAATCCACGCAGTTACAGAGCAGCTGATTGTCTTGTGCAGCAGTCCCCAGAGTACAGGATTCCAGGTGCTCAGCGAATTCCAGTGCTCTAAATCTTTTCCTCACCGTGGCTCCTTTGGGCATTAAGCCAAATGCTGTCTCCAGGGAAGTGACAAGGCAGAAGGCTCTAACTACTGTTCAGTAATGTCTAATCCTTTCAGTGTTGCACAGCTAAGCATATTCTAAAGATGAACTGGTGACACAATAGCCCAGTGAAAACTCTAACCAGTGCTTTTTATCCCTCCTACAACCTTGTGAGGAAAATCACTGTAAGTCTTAGTCTGCCAGAGCCTGCCCCCTGCTTGCAGTTGGGCAGCAGTAGTTGTCCTGCTGTACCCAGTTGTGTGTGCTTGTCAGTGAGAGCATCACCAATCTGTTGAGTGAAAACAGGGATGGGATTTTAGGGTTGGTGTGTTTGTGAAGCTAAGGGATACTTCATGACCATGGTTTTTATTTTTAACGAGTTCTTTGAGATACAGAGTTTGTCGCGTTAAGCTTGATGTAGAAGCAAAACACCTTATCTGTTTTATTGCAGTAGGTGACCAGAGGAGACTACTAAGCAGCTGTGATGTTTCAAAGGATAAAAAACTGTTCAATATTTAGTGAATCTGTAGGGGAGATTCACTACCACTTTCATGTAGCACTCAAGGCAATTAGACCCCATGCATCTGAAAACTGCAAGCTCTGTAAAAGTACTTGCAAGCATGCATCAGGTATTCAGAAGTGATTTTGATGGGAGCCTACAGCACTGTCTTATATGTAAAGCTTTTCTAGATGTCATTTTCTACTCGCTTATTCCTTGTGGCTTTGTAGAGACTGGCGTCGAGGAGAAGCAAGAGATGATGAAAGACCTTTCCGGCGAGGAGATGATCTGCCCCGACGAAGTGACGATCTGCCTCGGCGAGGGGATGATCTGCCTCGGCGAGGTCCTGCAGAAGAAAAGGAACGGCCTTCTGCGGAATCAAGTGAGGACAGGCCGCCTCGGCGTGAAGGGGATGAAGACAGACCACCTCGGCGTGAGGGGGATGAGGACAGGCCACTCAGACGTGGTTTGGATGAGGACAGACCTCCCAGACGTGGCTTGGATGATGATAGAGGGAGCTGGCGGGCTGCAGATGACGACAGGGGTCCCAGGCGTGGAATGGATGATGACAGGCCTCCCAGACGTGCGTTGGATGATGACAGACCTCCCAGACGTGTGTTGGATGATGACAGACCTCCCAGGCGTACATTGGATGATGACAGACCACCGAGACGTGGCTTGGATGACGACAGAGGCAGTTGGCGAGCAGCAGACGACGACAGAGGACCCAGGCGTGGGCTGGATGATGACAGGCCGCCCAGGCGGGCTTTAGATGATGACAGGCCACCCAGGCGTGGGCTGGATGATGACAGGGGCAGTTGGCGTGCTGCAGATGACGACAGGGGTCCCAGACGTGGGCTGGATGACGACAGGGGTCCCAGGCGAGGTCTGGATGATGACAGGGGACCATGGCGTAACGCAGATGATGACAGGCTCTCCAGACGAGATGACGACAGGGGGCCGTGGCGTAGCAGTGAAGATTCAAGACCAGGTCCTTGGAGACCATTTGGTAAACCAGGTAAAGCAGAGTAATGCAATCATTTTTCCTCCATAGCGTGGTTAAACCAGCAGGTAATGGATGTGATACATTTGACAGAAAAGATGGGAGAATCATCTCTGAAAATGTCTGCAGTAGTTCTGCTAATGTGGACACTCCTTTACTTAGGAGAATTAATCCTTTTCATTTGGTTCAGTTAGACAAACCGTGCATGGCCAAAATCAGCAGTATTTATTATTTGCCTGGAGGTCTAAAGGTCGCATAGTATTGGTGGTGTTTACTTACATGCAAAAAAAAGACACACAGTTTAAAGCTTTGATGAAGGAAGAACATTTTCAATAGTTGAGTGCACCTTAATCTCTTTCCCCACATGATCTGAAATTAATCTGCTAGGAAGGATTTTGATGCATCACTGCATCACTCAAGTGGGTCTGGTTTGCGTAAGTTATTTTCTTTTTTCCTAGATGTGGTAAAAGTAGGAGTATTTTTACACTTTTTTTGGACATCCTCCATTGAGTAGGATTTTATACCAGATGACTTTTTGAAGTCCCTTCCAACCTGAATTATCCTCCAATCCTATTCTTATGAGGCTTATTTCTAATTCAAAGTAGTAGTGTTGGTAACCAATACTTGTTTCTGATTGTATTTGAAACTGTTCCTGATTTTTTTTAATTCCATTCACATTTGTATGTTTATTATATTTTTATTTCATATTTTTATTTTATATTTTTACAGGTGCCACATCAACTCCTTCAGACATCAATTATGTAATCCAAACCAGTACCAAAATTATCACAAGTCATTTTATTTGCACTCCAGTAGCTTTTTCCTATTAAAAAAAAATCCAAAACAGTTTATGGGAGAGAAGTAAATGCATCTTTTTGAGGGATTAGAAGTTATTCATAAATTCCTTTGACTTTGTTGCTTGCAGGGGGATGGAGAGAGCGTGAGAAGGCTCGTGAGGACAGCTGGGGGCCTCCCCGAGACTCCAGGCCTCCTGGAGACCGTGAGTGGGATAGAGACAAAGATCGGGACGAGAGTGAGAAAGACCGGGAATATGACAGAGAAAGGGATTTTGATCGAGATGATCGTTTCAGACGTCCCAGGTTTGTGTAATTAAGGAATAGTATGACTTCACGTGGTGAAATGAACCGTGGTTGGTGTGTAAGAAATGGAGTTCTTTAAGGTAGTAAATGGATAGTGGCACAGTGGTTCATTGTTCTTAAAATGCTAACGGAGTGAATCCCAGATTCTGCATTTAAATATTTTGCTTTTTTCCCCCTGTACATCATATTTCATGTTAGGCTCCAGAAAAGATTTTGGAAGTCAGCATATTAAATAGAGACCCATAGGACCTGAAAATATCTGTGTCATCATCACTTCTTTCTGTAGCAAAGATAAAACATGAACATTTAGCCTTATTTTTCGTTTTCAATGGCAAAAGGGATGATGCTGGTTGGAGAAGGGGACCAGCTGAGGAAACATCTAGCTGGAGGGATTCAAGTCGTCGTGAGGAATGGGACAGAGGTGGCCGTGACATGAGAGATCGCCGTGCTGATGACAGAGAACCACCGCTCAGAAGAGGCCCTCCCCTCAGATCTGAGCGTGAAGAACGTATGTTTGTTTTGTGTTCCTAAAGGCTTGCAGTTACTACAGGTCCTCCACGTTACCCTGGCAGCATTAGGAGATGATTCTTTTCGGCCACGTAAACACCCTGTATGTAACAACGTAATACAAAGCAGCAGTAGTGCAATTGCAACATTTTCCATGAATCTTGTTTTTAGTTTTACTCTTTTCTATCATAGTAGCAATTCAGATCTGCAGTAGAAGGATAACATTTTAAGTCTGCAGTTATTTGTCACATTACATTTGAGGTGAATGAAAGTTTTTTATAGTTCAGTCATCAAGAGAGGCGTCCCAGAAAGTAATTTTTCAAACCAGAGAAGTATTTGCAAATAAGGCCTCATGGGTTTCACACTATTAGTGATATTTATTTTTTATGAATAACCGACTTTAAATATGTACATTAATGAGTTTTAATTATGTACATTCATTTATACTTTGCTGTCTCCTATAAAAACCAGTAACAAAAAAGACGTTTAGCCTGAGATACCACATGTTGCCAATCTGGACTTCTCACGTTCAGAATTTCATTTGGTTTCTGCCCTGAGCATCAGTGCTCCCTGCTTGTGGCTGCTGTCATGCAGCTGATCTCAGAGCATACTGGAACAGAACACACCTTGCAGGACTGCAGCTAGCAGAAAGGTTGAGGGTTCCCGGTGTGGGGAGATATATACATTATATATATATATATATATATGTGTGTGTGTGTGTTATAAAATAATATCAAGAACTACTTTATTTTTTGACCATCTGGTTTAGTATTTGACAGTTTTGTTCATAGCTGGGGTGTCATTCTTACGCTCCTTCTGATGGAAACTAACAATTCTTCATATAGTGAAGAATGCTGAAGACTAGTATCAGGGGAGCTGTGTAATCCGGTGTCACGTCTGACTTCAGTAATGCTGAACAGCAAAGGGCTGTTGAGATATAGAACACCTAAATATTTTTCAGTTGTTTCTAAAGAGACGCTTTTGTGCTTTTAATTCTGATAATATAAGGATGTATTTTACATTGTAAAACCATGTACATCACTAGAACATTCTTATTGCAGTTACTTTGTTTTGACAATGACACTTCACTTGCTGACAGCACTCATACATCTCTAACAGGCATGAGTAGTTCCTGTCCATTACTTCACTATAAAATTAAGCTGTGCATTTGGCTGTCATCTTCATATTAGCTCTTGGCAAGAGTGAGAGTCAGTAAATCAGACTCGGTGCTAGGCTTGTTTGTTTAAACTCCTGCAGGCTGCTGGTTGAACATGACAAAAGGTGGTTTTAATGTCTTCTGTGTTTGTAGCAAGCTCGTGGCGGCGTGCTGACGACAGGAGAGAAGAACGTGGGGAAGAACGTGAAACAGTTCGGCGGTCAGCTCCTGCCCCTGCTGCTCCTCCAGCTTCTGCTCCCCCGTCAGCATCGAAAGATCGAGAGAGAGATGGGGAGAAGGAGAAGGGATCCTGGAAAACAGAAAAGGAGCGTGAGCCCGTTCGTCGTACTAAAAATGAGACAGATGAAGAGGGGTGGACCACTGTACGACGCTAAGCGAATATCAAAACAGTTTAACCAATGTTTTAGCTCTGATTTGATCGAATCCACAGATTATATTTGTGCTTATAAACATTCTGAATGGGAATTCTTTAACAAATGTTTTGAGATAACACGAAAGCATGAGCTTGAATTACTTACTCATATAGATTGATCATGCACAAAACTCACAGCAGAAGGTTGGAAATTGAATGCCGGTTTTTGAAATCTCAAATGATGCTTACTTCATGGGTCATTTGTTGCTACAATAAAAAGAAGCAGGCTGCCTTGAGTAATGCCTCTGTTTCACACCAAAACAAGCTGACCTTTATATTTTTAGTCTGTCTTAATTTGGAATGGGATATTATCACTGAATGTGCATTTGAAAGCACCTCAATTCACACAGTGGAATTAGGGGAAAAGCAGAGCTGGATCAATTTCCATAATTTGCCAAAAAAAGGAAAAAAAAAATATATAACCCCCTCCCCCCCTCTTTTTACAATCTTTGAGGGCAGGCAGTTTGGGAGACATTTTATCATCTAAATTCAGTAAGTTGTTTAAATTTGAATTAAACACAACAAACGTTATGAGCATTAGCTGCACTGGGATCTTTTCTGTAGATTTACTTGAATACATGAAGCCTACGAAGCCATGTTGCAGTCATTTTTCCAGTAATGTATACTGCTGCAGTGTGCAGACACAAAACTCCAAGCTTTTACAATTTAAGTGTTTTGGTAAGCATATTGCTATGTATTTTCTGTTGCAATAGCACAACTGCTTTTCCATTACTGGATAATTCATGCCTTTCAAGGATTTATAAATATTGTCATATTTAAAATGTGTGGTTTTGGAGAAGTTGTTGAATTTTTCCCCAATTCTTTGTCTTCAGGGTAAATTCTTTCCCTTTCCAAAAGAAGTGATTTGTAGTAATGGCTGTGTTGACGTTGATTTTGAGATGAAGAAGAAAATTAACTATCTGGTCATACTGAAGCCAACACAGAACTTGCTGCTGTGTGTTTCTTCAATGATAAATAAACGACTTATGGAATTAGCTTCTACAGTGTCTTTTTAGTAACTTCCTGCAGTGCACTTCGATGTAGAACAGCTGTTAGGTTTTTTTTTGGTGTGTATGCATACCAGTTTCTATACTATCTGAAGGAGAATCTCAGAACACTTAGAGAGAAACTAGCCTGAGTTAAAGCTTGTTTAATTTTACTGTGTGTGAACATCAGTTGTAATGCTTTTCTTCTTGTCCTTTTCTGAGCTTTTCAGGACTTATTCATTTCTAAGGAAAACTTTGCTCTTAAGCCATCCAACCTGAGGGCCAGGTGATTGTAACTTTGGGAGCTTGTCACTTCATTTTGCCAAGTTCCAGGATTCCTCACTGTTTTCTGAACAACAATCAGTGATTGTACGCTCCCACAGAGGATGGCACTAGAGAATGGCATCCACTCCACCTCCTGGATTTGGGTAGCAGGCCATGGCTGCCCTTCAGGCACCTGTTGCTGTACCAACATTATTTGCTGTCAGATCATCACAGAATAGTGCCTGTTAAGTGCTTTGGCCCCACTTCTTACTGTCAAGTCAGACTCTGTTACTCTGAACCATGCTTACCCAGGCTGGTCTTGAAAAGCTCCAAGGAATGCTTGATTGCTCACACAGTAAAATAGCTTAAATATCTTTTCAGCCTCTACCTGTTGCCTCTCATCTTGTTGTCCACACAGTGCTGTAAATAGCCTGGCTTTATAACTGCCTTGGGGTACTGGCTGGTAGAATTCCCTCAAACTTTCCTGCTCCAGTCTAAGCCAGCCCTGCCCCCTCCAGCCCCTGTGGTCTTGGTGCTCTGCTGAATTTGTTCCAGTTTGGCACAAGCTTCCCCATACTGGAGGCAAACTGGGGCAGTAGTGAGGTCTCATGAGTCCTGAGTAGAGGAGAGACACTCCTCTAACCTGTCAGAAGAACCCATGGCTCTTGGGTTCTTCTCTATCATCCTAACCAGGGTGCAAGGATAAGGTAACATCATCTGGACTGCAGTTTCTCAAATGGTCTTTCTGGCCTTTTTTGAGCATTAGTGCCACATTAACTTTTACCCAGTCATCAGACAGTTGTAAAGAGTGACCGTATCTTCAGTTATGTATTTTAAATTTTATCTGTACAGCCATGTTTACATGGGGATAAATGGGGCCATTACACCAAATGAAACTCTTCCAGAGTTTGTGTTTTTAAATGGAAGTTGCTATATATGTTGGAACTCATTCAATGCTCAGGACCAGGCAGCATCACAAACGGCTGAAAGATGCAACTACACAGACATGTCCATGTATTTATTTCACTGCATGATCTTTTTAGATAACTGCAGTGGTCAGACATTTCATCTGACCAAATCCAACATCTAAAACCTGCACCTACTGCCAGCAGGGGCAGTCAGCCGCTGTGGGAAGGGGGGAAATTCAGCTGGGGAGCTGCTGGGATAGAGACCTTTAGTTCTCTCTGTAGTAGTAAAGGACCACAGTAATAAAAAGAACAGCAAGTTTTCCTTATGCAAATAAAGTGTAGGTTTGGTAAACCCCCAAAGTAAAGGTAGGTCATCAGTGAAATTCAGGTTTAAAACCCACCTGTTACTCAGCTACGAGTCCCCACAGCATGCAGTTTGTTACAGAACTGTAGGACATACATATGCTAGTGGCAGAACAAGTACTCAGTTCTCCCCCATTTTGCCATGCCAGGAACAGCTGCGACTGAAAGGCACCACACTTGCCTGACTTGAGCAGAAGTGAGTTATCCACACATCTGAAAGGAATTTTCCATCAGGCGGAGCCTGCTTTTTTGCTCAGACTGACACCACCAAGGGTGATGATAGGCTACCTGGTGCTCTGTTCATTCCTCATCAGAACATCACCATGGAAAAGATTCCACTGCTGATAGAACTAGGAATGTTTCCCTGAAATCAAGGGTTTTTCTGAAGGCAAAGTGCTTGCTTCAAACCAGTACCATACATCTTTAGATCTGCAGCTGCGTGCAGAATAAATGATAATGGCATCAGGCTCAACAAGACACCTTCTGTGGAGCATGTAATAGCTTCCAACGTGGGCTGCTGGCAGATGAAGGCACATGCTGTTCCTAGGAGTTAAGGTTACTACCACAAGCTGTCTCGGTCTCTATGTAAGCAGCATCTACGTAACAGGCTTTTAAGTGACCACGAGCAGGTGTGTCTGCCTGCTCAGTGCTGCAGAGTGTGCTGGTGTGCAGGAAATGGCTCTGGGAGCTCAGCCTGAACTAGGTTGGCTTCCCTCCCACCCGCAGCTGCTTTCTCCAGCCACTGCTGCTGCCTTACCTGCTGGGACCCGGCTCCCAGGTCTGATGCCACGCAGTGCAGGTACACACGGAGAGCAGGACTCTGAGCACACACAGCAGGAGGCACCATCACAAGAGCAGCTTTCTTCTCACCCAGGTGGAGGGCAGGGACAGGTGCTGCGCAAGGACAGGGCTGGCATCCAAGGCAGGGAGATGTTCTGCTGTCTTGACAAGCTCCCAGGCGGTGCAGTGGGGCAGTTGCTATGGGGTAGCTTAAGCAACAAACCAGGGGAGGCAGATGTATGGCAGCCCTCTCGGAATGTCCCGTCAGAAAGCATCTGAGATCTTTTCCTTACATCTTTCTTGCTTTTGTGTCCATGAACAGTCACCTCAATTGAAACGCGTCTACTCATTTTCAACATTCCCACAAGAAGCTAACAAAAAGACTTTTTTCCCCACAGCATTACACTGGAGCTCAATCCCAATCTGCGGTGCAGACAGACATCATAAAATCCAACACCTAAATCCTACCAGCTGAGAACCTGCAGGGCAAGCCTCATGGAAGGAGGGACAGCACACAGCTGGTATCATCACAACCAACAGGCAGCTCCATACAACCAGCTGTAGCCACAGCAAGATGTTACTTAATGCAAGTCCATTTACATTTGCTAATTAGACCTAATGCCATCGTTGAAGCAATCTGATGAAGCCTGAATAGAACACTTCCATCCACAACCCTGATCTCAGCTGCAGTTTTGAATAGTGACCCCTGTTCCCAATCCTGCACATCCTGACTGCTCTCCTGCCCATCCCACTTGCTTGCTTCAATCTCCCACCCTGCCGGGTAGCTCCCCAGGAGGAACTCACTCTGATACCTGTCACTTCTCACTTGCCCAGCTTCCCTTCCCATTAGGACCCGGTGACTTTCTCACCCTCAGCTGAATCTGGGTACAGCCATCTAGAGCAGAACCCTTCTGCACTGCCCTCCTGGCACCAAAGGGCTCCGAAGAGACCCACAGACCTGCTGCTGCCGCTCCTTCTCCTGTCTCAAGTTGCAATAAAAACAAATTCCCCACCTCTCGAGATCGACGCAGCCCCGTGCCAGCTCTCAGCACTTCCCGGAGCTGCGTCTCGTGTTCGGTATACGTGAAAGCTACTTGGTAACCACACGGGTGGATCTCCCCCCCGCATCCAAACAAAGCCACACTCTTCAGCCTTACAAACGCATCACCTTCCTTCCGTCAGTTTCGCACCGTGCTCTGGGTCTCCTCAGAAGCCCACAAACACACCAGAGTCCGCTCTGTGCCCCCCCCCAGAAGGGCTCACAGCGCAACCCCCAGTCCTTCGCCGCTCCAACCTCCCAGCCTCAAAGCCGTGCGTTACGCACAGGGAGCCGGGAGGCACTGTCCCGTTCCTCCCCCTCCCCGGATGCAGCCATTTAGCCGAGGGGCTGCCGACCACCGACCGAGAAACCCGAACGGTTCCAAGGACGAGGGAGCGGCTCAGAGCCCTTCCGTCCCCGCCGGACAGCGGGAGGCCGTTCCTCCGGGCCGGGCGGGCAGCGGGGAGAGACACCGCCCGCCCCGAGCGCCGCCCCCGTCGGGACTCGCGGCGAATCCCATTTTCTTAAAAACCACATATATATATATTTCTTACAAGAAACACGTACAGGGCGTCCCGGCCGCTCCGAAGCCGCCCGCCAGTCCCCCCGCGCCCCGCTCCTAGCGGGCTTTCTTGCCCAGCGCGGTCCGGGCGTGCCGGAGCTGTTTGGCCGCCTGCATTTTGGACAGCGGGCAGTACTTGATGGTGTGGGCATTGTCCCCGCTGGCGCCGCACAGGGGACAGGTGTAGCGGCGCAGCACAGGGCACAGCACGCGGCCGTCGGGTCCCTTCAGGATGTGCGTGGTGTACAGAGCCACCGCCTCCTTGTTGTTCCGGCAGAAGACGCACACCTGCAGCTCAGGCTTCAGCAGGCGGCCCGCGGCACGCGGGTGCGAGGGCAGCCGACCCGCCGCCACCACCACGCCCGCGCCCCACGCGTGAGCCGAGCCGTCCCGGCCCGCGTGCTCCCCCGAGCAGTCGAACAGCACCGCGGCGGGGCCGCCGCGCCCGGGGAAGGGGCTAAAGTCGGCGTAGCGCTCCTCCAGCAGCCCGTCGCCGTGGTGATGGTGGTGGTGCCGGCACAGCTCCAGCTCGTGCAAGTCCAGCGCGCCCTCGAAGTACGGCCCCGCCGCTTCTTCCTCCTCCTCCTCCTCTTCTTCTTCCTCTTCTTCGGCCGCCGCCACCACCACGGCGGGCGGCTCGGCGCCGAAGCCCTTGCCGGGGCGCACGGCCTTGGTGATGAGCGTGGCCAGCCCCAGGTAATCGTTCCACGAGTTGAAGACGTTTCCGCAGGCGCTGTGGCTCCGGCCGCCGTAGCGGGCGCCCGGCAGGCGCTCTACGGGAGGGAGGTGCCGGTGCGGCTCCAGCTTGCCGCCGGGGAAAGCCTCCATGGAGGGCGCCGTCCGGGAGCGCCCGCCCGCGCCCTCCACCGCGCGCCGGACCGCGGCACCGCCGCAACTCCACTCCCAATGCCGCCTCCGCTTTCTTCGGGAGCGCGCGGCTGCGCGACGCCCTTTAAATAGGGGCGGTGGCGGGAACGGAGGGGAGGGGTGCCCGCCGCTCTCTCATTGGCCGTCGGCCAGAGGCCCCTCCCGCTCATTGGCTGGTAGGAGGAGGGGAGGGGCGTGGCCAGACAAGGGGCGGTGAGGCGTGCGCGGCGGCGCAGGTGGCGAGGCACGTGTGCAGGGGCCGGGGAGGGATGGGGGGTCCCGGAGGGGGTCATTGTCCAAAAAGCTGTTGTTAGTGCCCCCAAAACATCCCTAATACTGTTAGTATCCAAAAAATTACTCCAAAACTCTTGTTAGTACCCCAAAAGCTATCAATATCCCAAAAGGCATTATTAGCACCTCCCCAAAAATAGTGTTGGTACCTAAAAATATGTTGGTTGTGTCCAAAAAGACATTGCTGGTACCAAAGTAACTATTTGAGCACCCAGAAAGCTGCTGGGGATGACTTTGTGTCAGCAATGCTGGTGTACTGCGCGTGGTACGTGGCATCCAATCTGGCACTGCTGTCAGTCCTTTCCCCATTGTAGAAATACAGCGGGGTTTGGGTTAGAAGGAACTCAAATCCCACCCAGCCCCAACCCCTGCTGCAAGCTGTGTGTCTCCCACAGATCAGCTGCCCAGCGCCCACCCAACCTGGCCTTGAGCACCTCCAGGGTTGGGATATCCACAGCTTTCTGGGCAGCCTGTGCCAAAGCCTCACCACTCTCTGAGTAGAGAATTACCTCCAGCCGAAACCTCCCCTCTTTTAGCTTGTAACACGTGGGGTTTTCTGCTCCCCCTCTTTGCAGGCATCTGGCTCCAAATCTGGGCTCTGAGTGAGATGGAGAGTCCAAGTAGCACATGATCATGTAGGCAAAGCGCACACTGCAGCAGAAAGTTACCTAGGCAGCCTAAGTACAGCTCTGCATTTGACTTCCCAGCAGAGTGACTTCCTTTTCCCTATCTCCAGCCGATCATTTTACAGCAGCAGCTGCATTCTGTGTTGGCTGTGGGTGGTTACAGCAGCAGGATTGCACTTCTCACCCTTTCTTCAGTCCTTCAACAAACACAGATAGACTATGGAGGAGCCAGGAGGAGCTGAAGGCAGGAAGAGAGCTGAGGCTCATTCTTTTGGGCTCTGCAGAGCTGACTGCTCCCAGTACAGCAACAGGGGATCACACTCAGTGGCCTTTTGGGGGCTGATAATGCAGTAGGAGCTACTGGCTCTTCTGTAGTCTTTCACTGAATTTAAAGAATGCAGAGTTGCAGACCACCAGCCGGGGTGGTGACCCAGACTGCTGCAGAACACAAATCCAAGCCAAGAATCAATTGTTTATCAACAGAAGCATATTTTTCCTGAGGATATGGTACCTCGCTTTTGTGTCTCGTGGAGAAGAATGTCAAAGGAGCCTGAAATGTGTACAGTTGATGAGAAGATCAGTTTTTATGAAAACCCAGCAGGTGCCTGGGTCTCACTGCTGTGGGCTGTGGGTTTGGGCTGCTGCTGATGCCCAGTGTCAGGGCTGCTTCTCACCTCTTGTAGTGTCAGGCTAGTGATGAATGTGGGCAAACACGTCTGTATGTGCATGCAGCTGACAGCCTCACCTGCAGATTTTCTCAGGGTTGGCAGATTCTGACAGATTTCAGAGGGCTGCAGGATTTTCGAAGCACAGAGATGTGACGGTGCCTTGTGACACGGGGTAAAATCCTTTTTGGTCAGTACCAGTGATAAAAATCCTGCTTGCTTAGGGAGGGAGGCCAACAGCCTCTGCACTGCCAGGACCGCCTGCACTTTGCTGCTCCTGTGCAAGGTCATGGACGTCAGAAGCAGAAAAAGCAGAGGTTTTCAGTTTTGGAAAAGTCTTTGGCTTCATTAAGAAGAGTATTTCAAATAAAATTTTGGCTAGACGCTCTACATTCCTCTGTGTATTCTGCCTCTCCAAAAATGACTGCTCCAGGATACGCTTCAGAGGGCTCAACGCTCACACGAGGATTTATTGCTCTGAGTTTCTGAGTTGGTTCTGAGCCTGAATTAGCAAATGATAGTGCATATTTCTAATAGCAGCAAGGATTCCGGCAGAATTTCTGAGCTCTGCCTGCCTGATTAAATCCACCGAGGGCTCCTGCTAAGCTCCGAGGCAGAGCAGCCATGCTAAATGCTGTAGGATGACTGCAGAATCAGTTGTGAAGGCTGTTTTATTGTATGAAGGGTTACCAGCAGAAGACGTATATGTGAGCTGATCCCAATGAGTGTCATATACACACTCAGTATAGTAGATAAATTCCTCATAGATTAATTTCACACGGTGAGGATAATAGTATTTCTCCTGACAACTTGATTAGATCTGTAAGAGAACTCCTGGTGAAAAAAAAAGGCATTTTGTTTTTTGTCAGGATGATAAGCATGATTTAACTGTGAGAGAAAAGCAACCAAAAAATCAGGCTTTCAGTGTTCTTGTCTTCCGTTTTGTTGTTTTGTGAAAGGAGTAATCAGAGGGTTTCCCGTTGTTTCGATTGCCCAGAGGATCTTGTTTTCTTCGTCTGAGATTGAAGTGTTTTGTGAAGCAGCTTTGCTACTTATTATATATGTTAACTACAAGGTTGGGACGAGATGGCCTTTAAGAGTCCCTCGAATGATTCAATGATTCCATGATATAATTGCCCAAGACAATTCCTCTTCACTCAGTGCAGCATAGACAAGCCAAAAAGTTGGGCAACCCCTGGTCTAAACATTTTGTAATTCTGATATTCGTGGGATTTTTGCCTTCATGGTACTCATGGAAAACTTCAAGACCTAAGATCTTGGGGAAAGGAGGCCTAGAGAAGCAGTGGATGTCCCATCCCTGGAAGCATTCAAAGCCATGTTTGGATGAGACCCTGGGCACCTGGTCTGATGGGGGGCAACCAGCCCACGGCAGTGGGTTGGAACTAAATGAACATTAAGGTCCCTTCCAACCTAAGCCTTTCTGTGATCTTACGATTCTGTGGGACAAGCGAGGTGCCTGGTGAGATGGGGACATGCTTTGTGCATGTCTGTGTGCACGGGGGGTGTCAGGGGCTGCAATTCATACTCAGGCACTTCACATCTCCCAGAAGCCTCTGTTGGGTTTCCAAATTCTTGTGCTCCTGTAGCTCACAAATCCCATTTGGAGTCTGACCTGAAAGCACAGCTTCATTTGTGTTCTCAGTAAGAATCGTTTTGTTCAAGCCTTAGGGTGCTTTTGATTTTTTTTTCTTCCTGAAGGGATAAACCACTAATTATACATGGAAACTGTACCTCAAAGATCCATCTTAATAATATAATTGTAGTAGCAAAGTAACCAGTATGATTATGTGCATCGTTGCACTTTTCTGCCATTAACCAGCTTTTCTTGGTTAATGAAGTTAGTAAAACCTAGAATGTGCTTTGCTGGAATATATCCAGTGGAATCTCATTATCACCTACAAGCCTTTATAATTGGGATGATAATGTGCAAAGCATTATATTGCTGATAAATGAGATACGATTAAGAGGGGGCAAAGTTCTGCTCTCAGACACACGTGACAGATCCTGAGGCTTTGGTGTGTGTCAGTGGAGTGCCTGCAGCCCCATGTCCACCTTGGGGCTGCAGACGAGGGGCACTTGGAGCAAGGCCAGCAGCAAAACTACTGAGAGCTGTGACCCCTCAGGAGAGGTGCAAGGAATCGGTGCTGTCAAGGCAGGAGGAGGCTGCAGTGAGGCATGAAAATGGTCTTAAATGCCTTCAAAGAAGGATATAATCTGTCCTGCATGATCCTGTTGGCTAGAACATGGAGGAATGGGTTTAGAGCACTCCAAAGGTGGTTTACATTGGGTATTATGGAAACACAGGACTAGACCAACTGCTTGGACCAAGGTGTGTCTAAAGGGCCTCTACCTTTGGCAGGCACCAGGAGAGGCTGAAGTTGGTGAGCTGGTAGAGACATGCTGAGTGTCATAGGTGGCTGTGATTCCAGGAGCCAAATGGCTGCTGCCTCTGCAAGGATGTCCTGGTTCAGGGTATGTGCAAGTGAGAAGCTATCAGCACAGAGACCAGAGATGTACCCAGTGCTTGCACAAGAAGAGATCAGATCTGCCAGGCATCTGTGGTCAGGATTGCACTTACACCCCTTATTTGCTTGGAAAAATTGTCAGAACTTCCAGTACAAGGAACAGAGGCATATAACAGTCACAGAAGCAAAACAGAGCACTATTTTGTTGGATGGCATAGGTCACAAAGTCTCTTCTTTTTGTATTTGTTTAGTTTCCAGTACGTATTTTTAGAAAAAAAAAAAGATCCAAACTTCAGTCAGAAGGATCTTTAATGAAGAATCAATCTGTTTGCTCCAGCTCTGGCTTTGGGAATAAACTCATTATTTGCACAGTTGAACATCTGGCCCATCTTCCCAATCAGATCTTGTCTATTTTCAGCATTAGGGTTGTCCTATGTTAACTGAGGACTCTGATCTCAATATTGCATTCTCCCTGTAAACACCAGTAGTCTTTGACCAAATCATCCCTTAACCTCCTCTCTTTGTAAGATAAATAGACTGAGCTGAATCTGTAATAGCTGTTTTGCCATCCTTCTCATTCTGAACTGTCTGACAATTACCAACATCCTTCATGAACAGTAGGCTTTAGCATGAACACAGCCCTCCAGCATGAATGACACCAGGCATGCCAGGAGCACAGGTATATCTTAGTGTTTTGCTATGGTACTGTGCTCGAATATTGTGTGTGACTGCATAAGAACATAGAAATAGGTTCAGACCAAAGATACATCTGGCTTGGAATCTTGTTTCTGGCAGGAGCTTGTCGTGGGTGGATACTGAAGTGTGGTATTTCCCTTCAAAGGCTCCTCCTTATCAGTTGCCAGCTTTAAAAAATAAGGGCACAAACTGAAATTCCATGCAAAG